AATCTTTGCCTAATCCAAAGTTGCAAAGATTTTCTCCTAGAAGTTTTATAGTTTTAGATTTTACGTTTAGGTCTAAGATCTGTTTTGAGTTTATTTTTCATATATGGCATAAGAGATGAACCACAGTTCCTTTTCCCCCCATATGGATGTCCACTGATCTACATTTTGATAGAGCCAGGGAAGAGGGCCATGTGCAAAGCATATCACTGCAGATGGAGTGGTGAATGCTGCCAGAGAGGGTTGTGCAAGGCAGCAGAAAGCCCTGAGAAGAGAGTTGTTAAGCTAGTGGAGATTTGGGGACAGCTGCACAGAGCTGATGTCTCACAGGCTGGGCCTGAAAGGTAGACAGCAGAGATAATAGAGAATGTAGACAAGGATGGTCTGTGGACACCAAAGGCAGGTGACAGTGTGAAGGAGACTGACTCAGTGGCATCTGGAGTGCATGGAGGGCAGGGTTAGACATGAGAGGGGAAGAGGAAGGTGGTTTGGGCAGGGACGGTGCTTCAGGAAGGTCTGTATACCAGAAAGGCAGGTGCACAGAAGGTAGGGAGCCAAGTGAGGATCTAGGGGTGCGGGGTGCAGGGATGAGGCCTGAGCTCTGGGAGTAGCTATAGGGATGGGTTCAAGGAGATGGAGTCAAGACAAACTGTAGGGCTGAAGAGTCAGGGCTGCCTTCCTCAGGCAGTTGGGTGGCTGAGAAGAGTTCATAGCAGAGTTAGGGACAGAGGAAGTGACAGATTAGGCTTCTGGTACCTGTGTTACTGGTGGAGGGTCCAGACTGCAAGTTGTCCAGGTCCTTGGCATTTTGAACAAAGTAGCAGAGGGACTGAATGTGGTAATTCCCGCACTTTGGGAGGCCTAGGTGGGCGGAACACTTGAGGTCAGTCTAAGACCAGCCTGGCCAACAAACAAAAAGCTTGTCAGAGGAATGAAATGCAGGAACGAAGCAGCGAAAACAGGAATTAATTAAAGTGAGAAAGCACTCTGCAGGGTGGGAGGGGGCCGAAGCAAGGAGCTCAAAGGCCCAGTTACAAAGGCCTCTGGTGTTTAAGTTCCCCATTTGAGGCTCTTATCGGCTACCCCTTATCTGGACACGAAGGATTTAGTCTGTGGCTAATTAAAGGCTGAGGTGAATGGGCACCCCCTATGCAGATAAAGGGATGGTCCCAATCCAAGGCCCCCCCTCTTTCCATCTGAGACATGGTGGAGGGGAGGGTTGCAGGGAGAAGAGCATTTGATCCTTTGTCACCCAGCTAGGGCAATTGGATTTTTCCTTTTGGTTCAGCCTTAGGAAGTTGGTGTTAATTGGCCTTAGGGTCCCTGCCCGCAGACCCAGGGTTTTCCTTTTGATCCAGCTTTGGGAAGTCAGCAGAATTGGCCTCAGATTTTTTTGCCCCCAGACCTTGTTAGTTTCTCTTTTTGGAAGTTAGCACAAATTGACCTTAAGTTCCGTGTCTCCAGACCCTGTTCTCCTGCCTCACCTACAGAATATCCAAGTGGAGGTGGCCAGGAGGCAGCTGGGAACACTTAGCGGGGCTGAGGCTCGGTGGTGTTAGTTCATCACTGCCTGACTGTAGACCTCCCCTACTGATGACTCCCCTCATGTCATGTCATTGTGCCTTTTGCAGCAGGACTGTGGATTTGTGATGATGGACACTGTCCCTGTGACTAGAAAATAGGGGCTTGGAGGACTGAGCTTTGTGACTCAGTAGGTAGGGGGAGATCACCAGAGCACACCCTGGACTCGGGGCAGAAGACCTGCCTGCTAGCCAGCCTCTGCCCTTGACTGCCTGCGCAATTGCTGCTCTCCCCAGACAAATGACCGGGAGACATGACGTCATGGGGGGCGCAGGAAATCAAGTGCTGTGCTGCTTTTGCAAGCAGAGAAGTAGGAGTTTGAGCACCTATCCAGGGTTCCCAGGGAATGCCCTGTGGCTCCTCACCTCCCCCGCCCAGAATGCTCTGAGCACTTCAGCACTAATGCATGGAAGAGATAAGGGTCTGTGGCCCATGGAACTGTCCAGCCTGTCTGCCCCCTGCTCCTGTTCCTGCCATGGAGTTGGGCCACTTCACAAAGCCTGGGCCTGAAACCCAATGTTGAAAGTGGGGTATCTCTTTGTTTACAAGGAGAAACAGACTGAAACTAGAACATGCACATTTCCCGAAAAAAAGAGTTGGAGTAGACTAGAGTCTTACAAAGAGGGCAACAAGGAAGATGATTCTGGACTGAGTAAAGGGGACCCACTCCTGAGTCCAGCTCCTGTCTGGCCCTCTGGAGAGAGAATTGGCCAGATTTAGCCCTGAGTGCCAGCACCCTCCCCAGTTGCTGCCTGGCAACCGGCTCCACGGCAGCAGCCACACCCCCAACGGCGGCTCGCCCACACCTCTGTGGGACCTCCCCACTGTCTCGCAGTCCATCTGCTCTAGGCTTCTACTGACGATTTTGTATTTCACATAGGCACATTTCTCCTCAGACGTTCTAGATGGGGAATGCCTTTCTGAAATATCAAAGTGCCCTGTTAGACAGGTGAGGGACATGCCCCCCACCCCCAGAGACTCGAGGATGGCAGCTGAATATCTCTCGCATTGGCATGGCCATGTGCTCTGGAGAAAGGAGGCCTCGGTGCAGTCAGCCTCTTCAGGAGGCAGACATGTTGAGAAGCTCTCGCCACCCGTGCTGGGTACCTTTGGGGAGGTGTCTTCTCAGAACTGTGTTCTCCATCTGGACAGTTAGTGTGCCTGGCAGGATGGGGTGTGTGTGTGTGTGTGTGTGTGTTGAGACTGGGTCTTACTCTGTTACTCTGTTATTCAGTCCCCCAGGCTGGAGTACTGTGGTGTAATCACGGGTGACTGCAGCCTCCACCTCCCAGACTCAAGCAATCCTCCCACCTCAGCCTCCAGAGTAGCTGGGATACAGGTGGCTTGCCACCACCGTCTTTTTTGTTGTTGTTGTCAAGACAGAGTCACCGTGTTGGCCAGCCTGATCTCAAACTCCTGAGCTCAGCTGATCTGCCCACCTCGGTCTCCCGAAATGCTGAGATTACAGGCATGAGCCACTGTGTCTGCCAGCCAGATAGTTTTTGATGTGCCAAGATTCATTCCTGACCTCATCCTACATCTTCTGCCTGTCCTGTCACTGTGCCTTCACTCTCTCTCTTCCCTCTACCAGCACAGGCTCTTCTGGGGATAATACTGGGACCAGTTCCTCTTGGCACCTCTACCTACCATGTCAGGGAAGGATTGCTGAATCCAGTCCACAGGTGGGCTTGGGGGAAAGTACAGTGTTGGAATCTGGAGCTGAGATATCCTGTTTTCTAGAACATTGGTGAAGGAGACTCACCAGCTATAGATGCTGACAGCTGGGAGATCAGAGGGGCTCTGTTAAGGAGTGAATAGGGTACCTTCAGGAGGGTGCTCTGGACAGAGTCCTGCATTTGCACTGACCTTGCAGCCAGTTTCAGAGAAGTTTGAGGTGTTATGACAGCAAAGGACAGGCTACCAGGAGCCAAGAGCATCTTCATGGCAAGGCAAGTCAGCATGGGTCAGTGAAAGTCTAGAGAGGAATGTTATTTGGAGTCTGGACAGCTGAGTGACCCATTGTGGGCCTTGAAGATAGATGGAAATGACACTAATCATGGCCATTCATTGTCAGATGTTTGAGAGAGAAAAATTCAGCAGTGTCATTGGTACAGAAGGAACACTGAGCCTGGAGTCATAAATCTCAGACCATTTGTTAAGTACTTCGAACGTACCAATCTTTGTCTAGTAAACATTTACACATTTTTCTTTCACATAGAAGAACCTGAGTTTGAATCCTAGCAAGGCATTTCACCTTTCTGATCTTGAGGAATGAATCCTGGTACAGTTTTCCTCATCTGCACAACAGGGATGTATGATGACATTGTCTATGTCAAAAGATGATACAACCTTTTTTTTTTTCCCTTTTTTGAGACAGAGTTTCACTTGGTTCCCAGGCTGGAGTGCAATGGCGCCGTCTCAGTTCACTGCAACCTCTGCCTCCCAAATTCAAATGATTCTCCTGCCCCAGCCTCCTGAATGCCTGGGATTATAGGCACCCACCACCATGCCCAGCTAATTTTTGTATTTTTAGTAGAGATGATGGGATTTCACCATGTTGGCCAGGCTGGTCTCGAACTCCTGACCTCACCCGCCTCAGCCTCCCAAAGTGCCAGGATTACAGATGTGAGCCACTGTGCCTTGCTGATACAACTATTATGTAAGCAAATATATGTATAAACACATAGCGCATAGCTTTCAGTTCTGGCACATTTTCCTTTCTTTAGATCAGTGAGTGGTTCTCTATTCTAACTGAACATTTAGAATCACTAAGGGAGCTCTTTGGAAATACCAGTGCTAGGGCAGTATTCCAGACCGATTGAAATAGAATCTTGGGGCAGGGTGCAGTGGCTCATGTCTGTAATCCCAGCACTTTGGGAGGCCAAGGCAGATGGATCAGGAGGTCAGGAGATTGAGACCATCCTGGCTAACAGGGTGAAACCCCATCTCTACTAAAAATACAAAAAATTACCCAACAAACTTTCTCTACAAAAAATACAAAAAATCAGCCAGGTGTGGTGGCACGTGCCTGTAGTCCCAGCTGCTTGGGAGGCTGAGGCTGGGGAATCACTTGAACTCGGGAGGCGGAGGTTACAGTGAGCCAAGATCGCACCACTGCACTCCAGCTTGGGTGACAGAGCAAGACACTGTCTCCAAAAAAAAAAATCTCGGGGCGGGGGGGGGCAGAGCCAGGCTTAAGGTGTCCTTTCTTTTCCTCTTCCCTTTCCTTTTTCCTTTCTCTTTTCCCCCTCCCTAGTGAAGCTAATGTACTTTGCACAGTGTTGGCAATTATCACCCATTCATCAGGTATTAATTCATTTTGATCCCAAGGGCATAGGCTTGATGTACAATAAGGAGTTAAGGACTGTGAGTTCTCAGATAAGGTTTGGTTATAGTCATTTCTCACTTGTCACCCACTCTAGGACTATTCCAGCACCCCAGTCTCCTGCCATGTCTGACCCCATCACGCTAAACGTCGGAGGGAAGCTCTATACAACCTCATTGGCTACCCTAACCAGCTTCCCCGACTCCATGCTAGGCGCCATGTTCAGCGGGAAGATGCCCACCAAGAGGGACAGCCAGGGCAATTGCTTCATTGACCGTGATGGTAAAGTGTTCCGCTATATCCTCAACTTCCTGCGGACCTCCCACCTTGACCTGCCTGAGGACTTCCAAGAGATGGGCCTGCTCCGCAGGGAGGCCGACTTCTACCAGGTGCAGCCCCTGATTGAGGCCCTGCAGGAGAAGGAGGTGGAGCTCTCCAAGGCCGAGAAGAATGCCATGCTCAACATCACGCTGAACCAGCGTGTGCAGACGGTCCACTTCACTGTGCGGGAGGCACCCCAGATCTACAGCCTCTCCTCCTCCAGCATGGAGGTCTTCAACGCCAACATCTTCAGCACCTCCTGCCTCTTCCTCAAGCTCCTTGGCTCTAAGCTCTTCTACTGTTCCAATGGCAATCTCTCCTCCATCACCAGCCACTTGCAGGACCCCAACCACCTGACTCTGGACTGGGTGGCCAATGTGGAGGGCCTGCCGGAGGAGGAGTACACCAAGCAGAACCTCAAGAGGCTCTGGGTGGTACCCGCCAATAAGCAGATCAACAGCTTCCAGGTCTTCGTGGAGGAAGTACTGAAAATCGCTCTGAGCGATGGCTTTTGCATCGATTCTTCTCACCCACATGCTCTGGATTTTATGAACAATAAGATTATTCGATTAATACGGTACAGGTAAAAGGACCCCAGCAACATTGGAGACGGGGAGTCCCAAGAAGTTCATGTCAGCCAAGGTCTTAGAGGGCATCTTGCCAGTGGTGCGAGGCAGGGGACTTACTAATCTGTATTAATTATGTAGCAGGACTTGATGCCCCCCATGGTGAAGTCCACCTTTTGGAATCCAGTGTCCTCTGAACAGAACCAACTTTTTTCTTGCCATTTTCAGCTGGAGATGGGCGGTTTATTATGATAAGTGAAGAATCGGCTGATGTGTATTAAAGGAGGCCATAGGAGGACTTTCTAGCTGGGACAAAGGAGCAGCAGTTTTCTCCTGGGCTCCATATCTCTGTACCACTATCCAGTGCCGCATTTATCCATCTGTAAAAAGGCTCTGGTGGAGAGGATGGGATGAGAACAAGAGGCTGCCTCCAATTAACCAGGAATAAAGTCCCCAGCAGTTCCTGTCACACCTGCTTCTCACTTCCCAGGGTGCATCCATAATAGTGGATGTTTGCCCAGGGGTGACTGTGTTTGGCTGGCTTGGAATGCTGTGCATTCTCTGAGCCCTGTTAGTGTCCCCTCCGGGGGGGGACAGAGATGAGCTGTGGCAGGGTCTAGAAGAGTGAGTGTCCAGGCAGGGTTCAGAAGGTAAGAATGTCCCTCTTGATGGGGCCTAGTCAAGGAATTCCTGACTTGAGAAAAGGTCTGCTGTCTCTGCAAAGATGTGCAAGTATCTGGAGCCAGGGTAATGAAAGGTGCTTCCAAATCCAGCGTGTTGTCTCACTTTCGCCATTGTTTTCCCAAAAAGTTGAGGTACCATTAAAACAGATCGTTTTAAACAAATATATTATGGATTCTCAGGGTTGGAAAATAATTCACTGATTGCTTAGTCCTCCCCCACCCCCAGAACACCCCAGCACATCTGAGGATGAGCGCCTCTCCCTGGGTACCTGCAAATGATCACCTTGGCCTGCTTGCACACCTCTGCTGATAGGAAACCGCTGCTCCCAAGGCATCTTCTGCCATGGTTGGCTGGTGCTGGCTGTTAGAAAGTTCTTCCTTATATTGAGCCAAAATTTGTCCTGCCACCTGCTGGATTTTGGGTACATACCTTCCCTCTCACCCAGTTATATACCTTTGCTTTCAAAATAGTCACCTTGAGAGGTCATATATTTTTCTGAAAACATTTATTCTTCAGAATTCAGATTCCCCTCTGGGATCTGTCTTCAGAATCAAAGCTCTTTTCTGTCCCTGTCAGTCCCCTTTTGTTATAGTGTCAACTCGTTTGTGACTCACTTGACCCACCTACCCTACCAGCTATGGCTCCACATGCCTTTTGACCATTTTCTGTTGGAAGAGAAAGATTCACGGCCCCCAAAGAGATCCAGAGGAAAGAGACAGGGTCTCTGAGGACGCTGTGCATCAGGGAGCCCAGGAGTGGTATGAACCATAACAGGACCCTTAGGGTAAATCTACAACCCCTGAGACCCTTCCCTCAGGAAAGCGGCCTTCCCCTGTAGCCCTGTGTCCTACCCCTGGGTCTCCATGGGATGCCATCCAGGGCAAGCAAGCCAAGCACTATTTCCAGGTGATGAGCCATGCAGGCCTCCAAACTGCACGTCATGATTCATCCCTAAAGTGAATTTGGCCTTGAGAGTCCAGGGTCCTCCCCCACTGGGCAGGGGTCCTCAGACAAAGCCAAGGAAGCCTGGTGACACAGGCACCTATGGGAGGTGGGCCCAGAAGGGGGCTTCCCATAGGCAGGCCCTGTGAGTAGGGAGCTTGTACATGGGGCTGTGGTCAGAGCCAACTCCCTAAAGGCCCTTTTCCCCCTACAGTGGGACACAGGAGTCTGACAGCTTTCCTTCCGGGTACAGTGGCTCATGCCTGTAATCCCAACACTCTGGGAGGCTGAGGCAGGAAGATCGCCTGAGGTCAGGAGTTCGAGACCAGCCTGGGCAACATGGTAAAAACCCCATCTCTGCTAAAAATATAAAAATTAGCTGGGCATGGTGGCAGGCACCTATAACCCCAGCTATTTGGGAGGCAGGCAGGAGAATCTCTTGAACCCAGATAGTAGAGGTTGTGGTGAGCTGAGATTGTGCCATTGTACTCCATCCTGCGCGACAGAGCAAGACTCCATCTCAAAAAAAAAGATGTCCCAGATCAAGAATACTTGGGAAAGACCCTCATGGAGAACCCAGTTTAGATCAAGTAGCAGAAGCTGTTGTCACAAGACAATTTGAGGAAGAAGTCTTACAGATAACCACTGCCCTTTTTCCTTTTCCATAAAACTCTCCATCTTTTTGGTGCTCCCTAATCCAAGCAGCTTGACTTTAGAGAAGTTGCAGAAGCAGTGAAGCCACTAACATGCTGTGACTTTGTGCAAGTCACTCACCTCACTGAGCCACCTCCATTTCTTCATCTGCGAAATGGACATAACAGTAATACATAACCCTACCTACCTCACAGGGCTGTTGTGAGGATCAACTGAAATAATGTACTTGAGAATACAGTATAAATGATCAAGGATTGTTATTCTTTGTGTCTGCTCATAATGGGGAAAAACACCAGTCTTGAATCACTCTGACAGGTTTTGAATCCAGAGCTCCAAGGCTCTGTAACCTTGGACAAGTCACTGAACGTGTCTTGACTTGTTTCCTCATCGGGTAACAACCCCTTCCTCCCAGGGTTATGCAACTTAAACGAGTTGGTGTCTGTGAAAATTCCAAGCTGGGCCTGGTACATAGGAGCTCAGTGCTCTTGCAGGAGGTGGTCATGGTGGACTGCTGTGTGGGGGACTAGGAGTCCCAGGAGAGTAGAGTTTAACAAGCCGTTGGGGGGCACTTGCTGTATGGGCCCTGAAGATGGGAACAACCACTAATAAGCTCAGCTAAGTTCAGCCTGGAGCAAGCTTAGAGCTTCACAATGTGCTGTGGGAACTCAGGGAAAGAGCTCAGTTCTCGGAAGGGGCCTTGTGGATGGCCAAGCTGGGCCTCTGAGGGTAGATTGGGCTTGATAGAATAAGCAAGAGAGGCTGAGATTGTGCCATTGCCCTCCACCCTGGGCGACAGAGCAAGACTCTATCTCAAAAAAAAAAGACAGATGTCCCAGGTCAAGAGTACTTGGGAAAGCCCCTCATGGAGAACCCAGTTTAGACCAGGTAGCAAAAGCTGCGGTCACAAGACAATTTGAGGAACAAATCTTACAAATAACCACTGCCCTTTTTCCTTTTCCATAAAACTCTCCATCTTTTGCGTGCTCCCTAATCCAAGCAGCTTGACATTAGAGAAGTTGCAGAAGCTGAGAGGCTGAGATTGGGCACAGGGAACAGCAAGAGCAGGGCTGGCAGGCAGGCAGGGAGGACGAGCAAGGGAGGGTGTACGTTCACACCGCCGCGGCACAGTCATTGCCTGCATCCAGCTTAGGTGAGCTTGGCCTTCTGCTTGGCAAAAATGTGAGAAAGAGAAGAAACACTCAGCAGTGCCAGCAGCACCATCAGTGGACAAGTGAGTCTGAGTGTGAACTGTGAGCAGGGATGTGCTTCTTGTGAGCCACTCACTGCCCTGGTGAGACCCCGTGGCAATCTCACCTGGACTCTGTTTAGCCTTTTATCCTGCCAAGGCCTCCGCCCCAGCTGAAGGAGCAATGCCAGGAACACATCACTTGCTGCCCTAGGTATGGTCCCATGCATGCAGCGGGACAATTAGAATGCAAGCTTGAGGGAACCCTAGGCACCCACCTTGCTGTGACCACTTCATGAGCACCAAACAGAGGCCCCGTATGCTTGAAGGCCAGCAGCAGGTACCACTCTGTGACCTCACGCCCTCAGCACCTCCAAAAGCCCTCCACCCTTTTAAGAAGGCCCTAGCCTCATGACCCTGGTCTGCCTTTGGGCCAGAGCTCCCTGTGCAGGGGCGCCCTTGCCCACACCTCAGAATTAGCAGCCCAGGATGCAGCCACTCTGTTTTGTAAACTTCAGCCTAAATCACACAGCATTTATGTAACTACCCATTTATTCACCCCAAACTTCCAGCTTCCTTTTACAAATTACTCTTAAAACAGTCTGGCATCAGGCTGGGCAGGGTAGCTCAGGCCTGTAATCCCAGCACTTTGGGAGGCCAAGGTGGGTGGATCACTTGAGGTCAGGAGTTCGAGACCAGCCTGCTGAACATAGTGAAACCCTGTCTCTACTAAAAATACAAAAATTAACAAGGTGTGGTGGCACACGCCTGTAATTCCAGCTACCCAGGAGGCTGAGGCACAAGAATTGCTTGAACCCAGGAAATGGAGGTTGCAGTGAGCCAAGATCACACCACTACACTCCAGCCTGGGCGACAGAGCAAGACTGCCTCAAAAAACAAAACAAAAAAAACAAACGAGAAAAAAGTCTGTCATCTGCGGGGGCTTAGCCAAGGTCAGCCCTGGGCCAATTTCTTGGCCGAAGAAATTTTGGCCCATCCCTTTCCTAAATTACAGTTTCTCCACACTGACCACCTACATCTGCCTGTGTCCCAGGCGGCTCTAGACTGATGGGAGCGGCTGGCTGGGAAATGAGGCCCGTGATCTGCTCCCAGAGCAAAACCACCTTGATAACAGGCCCATCAAAGGGAGGGACAGGACTCTGGCAGCTCCATCTGCCCAGACAGCCTGGTGACCTCAATCTCCTTCAGAATCTTTGGGACAGGGTGGCACCAGCAGAGATGTGGAAACCGTTCGGTGACACATTCGCCCCAGTCTGGGGCACAGGGACCAACGGGGGCTCACCTAGCAACCCATGGCACGCAAGACCCCACCAGACACAAAGGACAGCAAAACAAGCTTTGAGGCGGGGCTGTCTGGCTCTGACGCTCATAAGCAAGTGCAGCCTGCTCTATCTGACCCTCCCCACTCATTTTCCTAGTCCTGTTTCCTACCAACTTCCCTGCCACTCCCACCACCCCACCACCAAAACACAGGGCATTTCACAGCCTTTGTCACCATTCCCAGTGAGCTGGCAGCCCCAGAGTGTTCTAGCCCATTCACTTCCTTATGCCAACTCCCTCTCCAAAGCCCAGGTTACCCTTTACCGAAGAGTGGGGCAAAGGCCTTGCTGAGCCAAATTTGAAATCCCTAGGGATCCCACCAGCTCAAGGGCAAAGGTTAATGTGTTATGACATGGGTACCCCTCCCCAGCCCCAATTAATTATACATCCTATGTTGGATTTGCTTACTTGACACCCTTTCACTTGACACCCTGCATTAATTTAAGTTACCAAGTTCCTTCACACCCAGTTTCCTTTCACGGAACCACAGGCTATGTCTTGCCATCCCACACTTATCTGGGCCTCCCTTTATCACTCTGTCTTCACAGCTCATCCTTCAACACTCTGTGTAAGCCCTGCCTCCTTGGCTCCACCCAGTAAAGTCAGGCCCAACCCCTGCTGTGCCACTCCATACCTGGTGAGGACTTTTATCAAAACACTGCACTTGCTCACAGGTAGTGCTGTACAGGTAAAGAAAGCCCTGATCTGTAGTGTAGGCCAATTTCCCACTAAATACTGTCACCATGGTCAGTTTCAAATAGCTACTATCACCATGGTCAGTTTCAAATAAATACTGTCACTATAGTTTCAAGCCACCAATGGGATGTCACCATCAAGCTGGAAGACAGGTATACAAGAGGCTCTGCTGAGCCAGGGAGAGCAGCTCCAGCCCCTACCATCTTTCTGCCTGATCCTGGTAAGGGTAGGGGCTCTGTTGTGCCAGACTAGGGACTGGCCCCCGGCATCTTCTCCCACCACTTCATCCTGTGACATGAACCTGTGAATATAATGCTTACTGATGGAGCAGTCCTGCAATATCTGTATTTTCCAGTGTGAACTGCTGGACTGCATAAGCACTACTGGGCATAAAATGACGAGCAAAGTGGAGTCACTCAAATGCCATCTCACACCACTAATATGCCCACAAGTGTAGACAGAAAGCTTTTGTGAGTGGGAGGCTCACTCCCCTGAAACGTGGTGCTTCCCACCTCCTTAGAAGACAAGCTAAGTTAGACAAACCGAGCAACCCTGCCTCCAACCCCCAGCCCACCACTCCTAAGCAGAGAGAGGCTCTCCATGACAGCCCCACGTCCTGACCTAAACCAAGCTGAGACAGTATACAGAGGACAAGAGACTGGGTCACCAAGACCCCATGGGCCTCACATGTCTGGACATATTCCCTCCACTACCTTCTTATCTCTCTTAATAAGCTGACCCCTGTCACATAGCAAAGGGGGATCTTTCTCCTAAGTTAGCAGACCAGGCTTAATTTGTAACCATAAAAAGAAGAAACTAACCTTTTATCTCCTTGAGGGCTGTCTTCCAAGGTTGCTAAAAGCAGGACTGTAGCATTCCTGATGAGAACCAGACCAGATGCAGTTGGCTGAAAACAAGATGGACTCCCACACCGACCTTTCACCAAGTTTTCCTCATTATAATCACTTTGTAATACTAAAGATCACACCCAGGGCTGGAGATTTAACGTGCTAATGAGAAATACAGTGCATGAGAAACACATGATCAAACTGCGCAGGTGCTAAAAGTTCCCCACCTCTACGTGCCTTCGTGTCACTCCTTTTCTCACCTCAACTTTCTTAAAATGAAAGAGCCAAGCCCTTCCAGGAGCTAGCACCAGGATCCCTTTCCCATACAATGCTCCCATGCATTGCTCCTGGTGTTAATTACTTTTCTTTTGTTTTTTATTTTTCTTTTATTTTTTTTGAGATGGAGTCTCGCTCTGTCACCCAGGCTGGAGTGCAGTGGCACGATCTCAGCTCACTGCAACCTCCGCCGCCTGGATTCAAGCAATTCTCCTTCCTCAGCCTCCTGAGTAGCTGGGACTACAAACCTGCGCCACCACATCCAACTAATTATTGTATTTTGAGCAGAGATGAGGTTTCACCAAATTGGCCAGGATGGTCTCGATCTCTTGACCTGGTGATCCACCCGGCTGGGCCTCCCAAAGTGCTGGGATTACAGGCGTGAGCCACCAAGCCCAGTGGGTGTTAATTTCTATTTGTGTGACAGCCAAAAACTAGAGGTCCAAGCTGGGATAAGAAAGTCATTCCCGCTGCTTGGAGTGCCCCACTGATAGAGAAGTTAAGAAGAAATCACTTAGGCAGATAGTAAGGGTATGGAAGTCCTCGATAAGGTTTTTGTTTTTAATGAAAAGCAGCCCCAAATCATTTTCTAATAAACAGCAACCTGTAAAATTGAGCTGCAGACATAGCAAACAACCTGGGAGCTTGCACTGGTGAATGTCAGAGGAACTAGGGACTAGACATGTTCAAAGTGGCAGGCTCCATCACCTTTCTCTGCCAGCCACGTGTACAGCAAGGAGCAGACAAGATGGCGCTAGCCAAGGAGAGTTCATTTGCATCATAAGATTAGGGTGGGGCAACCAGCCTTCTCGCTATGTAAATGTCACACCTGATAGAAACAATCTGTGAGGTCTACATAAATCAGATACCACCTCCTCAAGCTGGACTGTAAAATCCTGTGCATCCA